TAAAATAGTAGATTGATATGTTAATAAAAAGAAAAATATTTATGCATTAATGACTTTAAGTTTTCTTTACCATTGAATTGAGGCTTAAACTTGAAATAAGAATTCAAATTGGCTTCACACATGGATTGAATTGTATATAATGCGATGTTTTTATTGATATAGCAAAGGTTATACGAGCCATTAAGCAATAAGGGACTATTGCTTGAGTACAAACATTAGGTAGGTGCTTTGCACCTCTACCATTTATTATATATAAATTTATAATGATATGTAACTGTAATTTTTTTTAAAATGTTTTTTTCATATAAATATCAATTGTGACATGAGCATTGTAAAAGTTGTGAAATTGATTAGCAAACCAAAAGGTGATAATGATATCAGTTTATTTGACGAATGAGAAATTTTATTGACTAGTTATAATGGATGGTGCTAGTAAAATTGGTTTATCTGATGACCATGAAACTTATTTTAATAGTTATCTTAAATGGGCTTGTGACATCAGTTTGTCCAACTACTAGAAAATGTATTTGACTAGTTATCATGAGTGGGTTAGTGACGTGAATTTTTCTGATGATCAAGAATGTATCTGACTAATTATCAGGTAGGGTTAATAGTATCGGTTTGTCTAATGATTGGGTTTTTAATTAACTAGTTACCCTAGATGGTGCTAATAATTTCAAAAGGACTAATGATCAAAATATCTAATTTGATCAATTACTTTAAGGGGTCTTTGTAGCATATATAAAGTTAATTTAATAAGCTATTGCTAAATCTTTATATATAGTTCAAGAAGAAAAAATTGGTTTGTAAGGAAAAATATAAAAATGTTTTAGATTACTTAGAGTGGATTATTGAATTAACTTAATTTATTTGCTGAATCAAAGTAATTTATTTTTTGAATTGCATGGTTAATATTTATAGTTTCATTTATGTTACATGTTATGCTAATTTCAGGTTCATCACAACTTTACATGAGTAATATTTAGTTTAATATATCTTTTATTTAGGAATATCAATGATGTGATCATAAAGTGTTAACTTATTTTTATAATATAATTTTAGAATTAACATTAGCATGTAAATAAAAATTAAAATAAATAAAGCATGTAATTTATTTATTTATATTTTCTTATAAATTTTATAAAATATTAAAAAATCACTGTATTATAAATACATGAATTTACTTCAAATAAATTATATGACATGTATATATTGTTTATCATAAAAGCTTCATTATTGAGATTGTTGAATAATTGATGAATTATTTGAATGGATTGAAGGTATTCAAATCTTGACTAGTGAAGTGTATTAAGTTCAAGATAGTTGGCTCTGTTAGTGTGATAATTACAAAGCATGATTGTTGTGATGCCGATAACTCGGTACTAATATTTTTAGGAGAAACTTTACCGAATTTTTGGTAGAGAAAAAAATCCCTTATTTTTTTTTATATATTTATAATAATAAATATTTTTATTTATGTTTTAAAAATTTAGGGATGCTATAACTTTATTGCTTAAAATCTAAACCTTTAATAGTATGAGAAAAAACTAGAATTAGTTGGAAGTGGTGGAGTAGATGTGGTGCACGATAGAAATCAATTTTATGACACATCATTACATGCATTGATGAGGATGAATGACGCGTGAATGGTCCTATAAGATGCAACACATCCTTTTCTTCCTCCGTATACTAATGGTATTGCCTACCATAACCAATGGAGAGAGATCAAGGCCATCAAAATTTTATTTTTTCTTTCTGTTTACTATTTATATTCTCCTTTCTTATTTATTTTTGTTTCCTTTTCCTCTTAAATAGCTATTGGCGTCAATTATAGAGGAAATTAGGGTTGAAGTGTTAGGCGCTGGTGGCATGGTTATTGTGAATGAGGTCATTAGTAATATGAGCTTGCGTGTATGCATACTAATATTGGAAGGAAGAGATAATATAAGTCTTAGTTGTTTTTAATAATAATAAAAAAAGATAAAATGTTATGTTATGATTGTTGATGTCATCGTTAGAGATGGTGGTAAGTAAATTCATGGTGATCATTAGCTGTGAGAGGTTATTTTAACAGAGCTGTTGGCCAGCATTAATGAGAGAAATAAAGGTTAAGGCTGATGAAGCTACTAGATAGATATAATGAGGTATGTTTTAACTTTGTTGAGAATAAGCATGAGTTGTTGAGTATGAGGAAGAACAATAAAATTAAAAAGTTTAAACAATGATAATTTAGTGTGATGGTGCTAGATGTAAAAGGCTAATTTTCACTGATAAGGAAGATGAAAGGTCTCAATTTTTAAGAAAGATAAATGATTTAACTTTTTTTGGTTGTATAATTAACAATTATGCTGGGAAAATAATGGAAGACAACAAAGTATATATTCCTCAATATAACACATTTGATTCTAAAGAGCATTTAATAGAGAGAATTCAGGTCACCAATTATTTATATTTTTTTGAAGATAAACTAAGTTTAGAAAGCATTAGACATAACAAGTCGTTACATGTTATAGTTAAATACAAAGATTATGTTATAGCCATGGTATTGAGATGTGATAGCATAACTTTTAAATACAACAAGTTCAAGGTATGCTTGTAATTTTTGTTTTATATATAATAAACAATATGTTATCTTTTAATTGATTTTTTAGCCACTAGAAAATTTAGAGTTTGATACTTGGAATGTAAAAATCTAATTTTCAACTAATTCACCTAAAAACATTAATACACGTTGACAAACCATTTCAAACAAAAACAAATCCTATATATCTTTTTAAGAAACCATAATTTAAATGGGTTAAAAAACATCACAATCTCAATCTATTTTTTACAATATATTTAAGTGCAAAAACCACTAATATTGAGGTTTTGTTTGACATTGTAGTCCAACCGTACTAATGAAAAATTTTAAATTTTTTTAGCTTTAAATTAGTTTTTTGTTGTGTGTTTTTGAATAGTTTTAATGTGTTAATATCAAAAATAATTTTTTTGAAATAAAAAATATTATTTTGATGCGTTTTCAAATAAAAAAAACTTTAAAATACACAACTTCTATCACACTCCGTTTTCAAATAAAAAAAACTTTAAAATACACAACTTCTATCACACTCCCAAACAAACCTTAAATATCTCTTTTGAAAACAAACTTATAAACACTATAATTAACTTTTTGGCGGTTAAAAAATGATTGATCGATCACTTTCTATCTCCTTCTAAATTTGAGGGGCTAAAATATATTAAAAAAAACAAAGTTTAGGATTGCAATTTGAAATTATAAAAATCAATAATCAAAATTGAAAAAAGTTTAAACTTTAAGAATTAAAGTGAAGTGTTTTGCATCCCGTGAATAGAAAAAAAAATGGCTGTCAGGATATTTTCTAACATCACAAATATAATGCATCATGCAAATTAAAATAAATTATAAATTTAAAATTATTTGAAGATAACATAAGACAATGAAATTAAATTAAAATAAATGATTGTTTAACAAAAAAATTTATACTAAAAGCACTTAAAAATCCTTATGGTTGGTGTCACAAATAAAAAGGTATATGATTGTATTATAACTAAAATTAAATTCTTATTTATTATTAAATGATAAATTATGAGTAATGTGATAATAAATAGAGTTGCCTCTCTTACTTTTATTTTTTAAAATTATTTTTTTTTAATATTTTTAAATTATTATTGTATCTTAATTTTAAAAAATAAAAAATTATTTTAATATATTTAAAATAAAAAATACTTTAACAAACCATTGTTATTAAAATCATTACCTACCCCATCAATTGATTTTTAAATTTATAAAATTATTAAAAATTATTTATATATATATATATACCCACACCCACGTATTTTTTTTTTTTAAAAAACTTTTTACCACAGATTTTAACATGTGACGAGTACAGCGTGGCGCGCATGCACCACCAGCCTCCCTCGTTCATCAACGCGGCACCCCTTGTTCTCTGGCGAGTCACCCATCACCGAGCACCCTAATTGTATCGCTAGTCATCGACGGCTCCTATGCCACACACCTCTAAACAGCGCGTGAACTTGTTGTGTCACGTGAAGGAGGGGTTGAGATGTAATCTCATGCCATCCTTCAAAAATAAGGAAGCCGTGACCCTGCACAGTGAACACTTGTTCCCGAAGTAAAAGCACGATGCCATTGGCTTTTATTTTAAGGATTTATTCAGTGTATGCTCGACAACGGCAAGCCCTCACTTTTATTTTACTGTCAGAGATTCCAATCAATCGGTAGTCACGATGATGCTAGGAATATTAAGATGAGCGCTATTGCAGAGGATAAGAAACTGTTGTTTTATCCATATTTATTTTACAAATTTGGTGCGCCTGGTTTTTGGTAAACTAGTTTTGGTAATTATAGATTCATCAACGGTCAACTTCTACCCTCATAGTTTGAAGCTTGCTAATATTAGTCCTATCAGGCTTAAATAGCTGTAATTTCACCCCTGGGATACAAGGTTGCAATACTCTATTGTACTTGCAACACTAGAGAAGTTCGAGTACATTTATTATAACATAATTATAAAATATTAATGTTTAAAAGATAATACACACATTCTAAATATTTATAATATAATGTTTAATTAATCTTAATATAATTTTATTTTTAATTGAGCATATTAAACACTTTATTATCTAGTCACAACTATAGTCGCAACATTAATTCACGTAATAAATGATTAGAAGTAACATACTTTTAATTTTAATAATTTTCTTATTTTTTTCTATTTTTATATCAATTATTTCTTAAAATACCCTATAAATATTGTAACATCGAAAAAAAAGCCTTTAAAATTTCTTAAGCCATTTAATGGTTAGGGGAAATATTGGAATCTTATGCAACTAGAAGATTCACAATGATAATATTTGAAATACAGGGGTGAAAGTAGAATGTTGAAGAATCTATAAGGGCAAAATTGAAGTTTAATCCTAGGTTTCTGTTTTTGATTTTTTTTAAAAAATAGTTCAGTACAGAGTCTCAGTACAGAGAGTAAAGACGAGAGAGAGAGAGAGGGGGAGAGAGCAAAGGAAATGAAAGGAAAGGAAAACAAAGCAAAAGAGAAAAGAATAAGCAGCAGCAGCAGCTTTCGATAGATCACAGAGGCATCTGTCTTTCCATTATTCTCAAGCTCTCTATACTCACTGACGGACGGTACTTACTCTCACACTCTTTTTGTTATTCTTTTGATTTTCGATTTTGTAAATGAAGCTGAGATTGTTGTTGTTCGTAAATGGTAATGTTTTGATGCATTAAGGAAAGGGAATGATAGATTTGTGGTCTTAAAAGAAGCACATTTGTCAGGTAACTTACAGATCTGGTGCGCCTCCAACTCCTTTTGCTTTTCTAATTTTTATTTTCCTTAGAACACAACTAGTCTGGTTCGAGTGCTTTTGCGAGTGTGTTTTCTTGTTATAAAAAAATAAATTAAAAAGAAAAAGGAAAGGATTATGTTATCTCCGAGTTTGCAGTTTATAAATGCTTGACACGTGGCGGGTGCAGGGGTTTCTGCTCCTGTTTATCCAGCTGCTATGGGAAGAAAATCACCTGCAAAATGGATCAAGACTGTTTTGTTTGGAAAGAAGTCTTCCAAATCTTTCATTGTGAAAGGAAGGGAGGTAATACCCAGTTACTCCTTGTTAATATCATATTGCCTACCTTAAGTTTCGCAACCTTGGATTCAATCATCTATCATGCAATTAGTTTGGAAGAAAAAAAAAGAGAAGATAATGTTGGTACAACTTCAGCTTTACATAGTTTCATGTAATTATTATTATTATTTTTTGGTCTCAACTCTTGATCATTGCTATAAACTGACTCTTGATCCTCGCTGTGTTGTTCCCATTAAGGCGAACATTCTTGGTAGCAATATTGTACTCCAAAAGACAAGCTCTTATATCCGGACAAAATTGTACCTACTAATTCTGCTTCTGAACTTTGATCGCCATGTGCAGAGACCCGCGAATGAGAAAGAGACATTGGTTGCTGTCAGGGCCGTGGAAGCGGATGTGACCTCAGTTCCTCCTGTGGTCATGCAGACAACAACCCCCACTAGCACTAATATCATTGAAAGGATGTTAGAACCAGAGAGCAGGGAAACTACGGAATTATCACATGATGGGGGTGTATTGTCAACTGGAAATCAAGATGCAAATTATTCTCAAGTACACGCTCTTGATGATGCACCATTGAGTGCTGAAAAAATAAGGCTTGATGAAGCTGCAACAATGGCACAAGCTGCATTTAAGGGTTACTTGGTAATTTTTCTGTTATTTTATTATTACTGTTGTGGATATTTAACTAATTTGTCGTAACATTATTAAAATTACTTCTCTTGCTTTTGGTAATGGTTGTGTGGCATCTGTTTTCAAGCTTTTGTTTCACCTAATGCACAAACACAATTGCCTTAAAATTAGATACAGTTTTATATAGATCATTTTCTTCGGCTTATCATTTTGTTCTTATGAGTCTTCATTTTGCTTAAAAAAAAGTCATTGAATCTTGTAAAGTTAGCCTGGTGGTGAAGCATTACATTGCAGTGTGCAGATAGGCGCGTAACTTGTGGCCACCTTCATGGACTTTAGGGTCAGGCAGAGAAGTGCATGAATGGTGGCCATCTTCATGGACTGTTAGGGTCAGACTGACTAGGTACCAGGTATGCGGGGTTGGCTCAACTACCTGCGGTTGCCCTAGTCCAAGCCCAAAGGTTGATGGCTAATTGTGGCCGTCAGGGAGTTAGTTCGGGTCTATATGCAGTGTTTTCATGCCCCTGATGTGGTGCAGCTAGCATGAGGGTGGCATTAACTAAATCTCTAATTGCTGAAATGAATTTTAGTTGATCTTCTATCCATTTCTTGTTGTTGCTGTTGCAATATGTCTTTTGCTATTTCCTGACACAGCATGTCAAATCATGTTTTCTAGAGGTTATACAATCACTGATGTAAGTTTATTTTGTGAAGGCTCGTCGGGCATATCGGGCTCTTAAAGGCATAATAAGGCTTCAAGCTCTTATCCGTGGACACTTGGTTAGAAGGCAAGCTGTTGCTACTCTCTGCTGTGTGCTGGGAGTTGTCAAGTTACAGGCACTTGTGCGAGGAAGAATGGTTAGGAATTCAGATATTGGCAATGAGGTTCATAAAATATGTAGCCTAGTGAAGCCACCGGTAAATTCTTGAAAAACCAAACCAACAATCACTCATCTTTCCTTGTGCAATTATTGGGAAAATGTCTTTCCTCTTGGCTTATTCAAGTACCTCTTTTAGAATAATCTGATATTTGAGTCAAGCATATGAATTTAGTTTTCCTTCTTCTTTTTGCACTTTTGGTGGACTTGTGGCACTTCCAAGGGGCGTGGGACTGTAGTGTAAACTCAGAATTAAAACTTCTTTCTTAAAGAATGTCTACGAATAGCAATAACAAATAATCAGCCTTATTGGTTAAGAATTTAGACCATTAAACAGTTTATTATTGTCAGGTTTCATCCATTATCAAGGCTACCAAAATTTCAGGGTTTCAATTTTGTTTATTGTCAAGCGCTATCCTGTGGAGATCTTAGATGAGATTTTTGGACCCATGCATTCCCTGAAAAGTGAATATGAGTATGATTCATTTTTGTTGCAGTTCTTCCAAGAATAGTAAATTTAACTAGTTTTAAAGAAAATACACAAGGTTAAGTAATCATATTGTCATTCAATGTCTTTCTGAATCATAGTGCTTACTGTAGTTCTGAATAACAATTGTCTGTGTGTCTCCAACTCTTTTTATTTACTTATCTGCCTTGTAACTCGTCAAATTATATTGTTGATTGTTTTGCTTGTTTGATTTTCATCATTAATTTTGCTTTCACTCGTGTATCAGAAGGGCACCCTTGCAGATTCTAATGGAGCTGTTATCCAAACAGCCAAGCTGTCATCGAATGCTTTTGTTCGCAAGGTATGGATAGAACAATGATTTGGTTGTATTGCATTACATAGTGGCTTAATTTTGTACAGAAGAAGCCTCTCTAGAAGGAAAAATTAAGAAAAGCCCTAGGATGTGCATTCTATGTGTTTATGATTTTATTTATTTGTTTATAATTCCAATGATAAATAGCTCCTTTTGGTTATAAATAGAATCAACAAAAACCTTAATGAAACCAGATATTGTTAGGACTAATGTGAGTGCTTATCTGGCTTCATGATAACAACCCCGACTATTCTCTAGGAGAAAAAAGAACAACCACCATGGCAAGTTTAACGCAAGAAACTGTGATTTGATTTTGTTTATCTTTTTACTTCTTATATGTAAAGCATAAAAATCTGCATACATAAGCACCAAGGGGGTACCAGCCATTGATCAAATGCAACAGAAAATTCCAAATTCTTTTTCCTATATATCATATGAACTACTTCCACAATCATAAAACTAAGAACTCATCAATAGTGAAAAACTATCCAGTAGGCCTTGGTATATAGTTCTAACTTCTAAATCAAAAATCCTTTAGAGGGCTGGGAGTTTATTCCCCACCTTCAACTGATCTTTCCTTTTGCTCTCCACAAAATCCATCTCCACAAAATCCAAAATATTACTATAGATATAAAATCCCATATTTCTTATTTTCCTGTAATAAAAAAAGCCACAATCTCTTCTTGGCCCAGCATTATGATCTTGATTTGCTGAACCACATCTTTTTGTGATCTTATAAAGATATTGAAGAAATGGTTTTCAATGTTTTCATGAGTTACTTGTAGTCATGATTGACAATCACATAATTAGATTTCATATCTATTTCTGTTAATCTGTGTTCTCTCATAAAGGAAGTTTTTAGGCATGAAATCTTAATAAGAGGGATACCTATCCTCAAAATTCAATTGTTTGATGTTTGCGAAATGTTGGCCTGTTTTATGAGATCCTGAAGGAACAGTTCACTTCAGTCTGTTGTATATGATAAAGGGACAGGTGTTGCTTCTTTCTTCCATGTAACTTGGTTCTATGTGCGCGCAGAGCTCTCTGCATCTAAAAATGAAAGGTTCTGCAAGAGTATTTGTGGTACTTGCACAGGGATTAGGGAAATTTAGCGTTATCAGTTAGAAAACACGCATGGATTTACACAACCCTTTCCATTTGTGGCGCCTGCACTGGGATCAAGGATATTTAGCAGTTATCAATTAGAAAACATGCATGATTTTTAATAACAACCCTTTCCATTTGATCTCTGATGGGACTGTTTCTCCAGCTTCTTGCTTCATCACCTACTGTGATGCCTTTGCAACTCCCCTATGATTCTGCGGAGCCAAACTCGGTTGCAAACTGGTTAGAATGCTGGACAGCATCCCGTTTCTGGAAACCAATTCCCCAAGCAAAGAAAATTCCTTATTCAAAAACTCAGAGAAAGCATAGTAATGGTCAAATAGTGGAAGCTGAAACTGGTAGGCCGAAGCGCAGTGTTCGGAGGGTCCCTGCAGCTAATCTTGATAGTACCTTGGTCCAAGCAACCTCTGAATTTGAGAAACCCAAGCGCAATCAGAGGAAAGTTTCAAGCCATCCAGCTGATTCAATGCAGGAAAGTCCGCAAATTGAGCTTGAAAAGGTAAAACGCAACTTACGAAAGGTTAATAACCTTGTGGTAGAAAACTCTGCTCATTCAGAGGTTGAAATTGAAAAGCCAAAGCAAACTCTGGAAAAGGTATCTGGCACTTCAGGTGATAATGTTTTGAGTTCAAGTAATTCTGCTGAGAAGATGAAGAAAGAAACTACCATCACAACACCCGCTGTGCTTGATGTGGTGAAGAATGAACCAAACTTGATGTCCACATTGCCTGATGCAGAGACTGCTGAAGAGCCTTTAGAAATGATCAAGGCAGTGGAATCATCACATGAGGATCAAGCTATAGTAGAATCTAAAGCTTCAGTTGATACTGGTGGTAAAGGTGAGAATACTCCTCAACTAAATGGGCAGTCCAAACACAAGAATGATCCAACAATCAATGAAAATCACAAAACTGCAAAGAAAGCTTCAGTTGCAGTGAAACCAGAACGTGCTGAGAATGGGACACAGAGCAGTCCTACCCTCCCTAGCTATATGGCAGCAACTGAATCTGCAAAGGCAAAACTGAGAGCACAAGGTTCCCCAAGATTTAGCCAAGATGGGGTTGAGAAAAATAATGTCACCCGGCGTCATTCTCTGCCATCTTCAACTAATAGCAAAATCAGCTCCGAGTCCCCAAGGACGCAAAGAGCAGTTCATGGTAGTGGCAAAGGAGGGAACAAGAGTGATAGGTCTTTATTATCTTCGAGAGATGGAAATGGTAAAATGTTTCTAATGTGAGTGCTTATCTGGCTTCATGATAACAACCCCGACTATTCTCTAGGAGAAAAAAGAACAACCACCATGGCAAGTTTAACGCAAGAAACTGTGATTTGATTTTGTTTATCTTTTTACTTCTTATATGTAAAGCATAAAAATCTGCATACATAAGCACCAAGGGGGTACCAGCCATTGATCAAATGCAACAGAAAATTCCAAATTCTTTTTCCTATATATCATATGAACTACTTCCACAATCATAAAACTAAGAACTCATCAATAGTGAAAAACTATCCAGTAGGCCTTGGTATATAGTTCTAACTTCTAAATCAAAAATCCTTTAGAGGGCTGGGAGTTTATTCCCCACCTTCAACTGATCTTTCCTTTTGCTCTCCACAAAATCCATCTCCACAAAATCCAAAATATTACTATAGATATAAAATCCCATATTTCTTATTTTCCTGTAATAAAAAAAGCCACAATCTCTTCTTGGCCCAGCATTATGATCTTGATTTGCTGAACCACATCTTTTTGTGATCTTATAAAGATATTGAAGAAATGGTTTTCAATGTTTTCATGAGTTACTTGTAGTCATGATTGACAATCACATAATTAGATTTCATATCTATTTCTGTTAATCTGTGTTCTCTCATAAAGGAAGTTTTTAGGCATGAAATCTTAATAAGAGGGATACCTATCCTCAAAATTCAATTGTTTGATGTTTGCGAAATGTTGGCCTGTTTTATGAGATCCTGAAGGAACAGTTCACTTCAGTCTGTTGTATATGATAAAGGGACAGGTGTTGCTTCTTTCTTCCATGTAACTTGGTTCTATGTGCGCGCAGAGCTCTCTGCATCTAAAAATGAAAGGTTCTGCAAGAGTATTTGTGGTACTTGCACAGGGATTAGGGAAATTTAGCGTTATCAGTTAGAAAACACGCATGGATTTACACAACCCTTTCCATTTGTGGCGCCTGCACTGGGATCAAGGATATTTAGCAGTTATCAATTAGAAAACATGCATGATTTTTAATAACAACCCTTTCCATTTGATCTCTGATGGGACTGTTTCTCCAGCTTCTTGCTTCATCACCTACTGTGATGCCTTTGCAACTCCCCTATGATTCTGCGGAGCCAAACTCGGTTGCAAACTGGTTAGAATGCTGGACAGCATCCCGTTTCTGGAAACCAATTCCCCAAGCAAAGAAAATTCCTTATTCAAAAACTCAGAGAAAGCATAGTAATGGTCAAATAGTGGAAGCTGAAACTGGTAGGCCGAAGCGCAGTGTTCGGAGGGTCCCTGCAGCTAATCTTGATAGTACCTTGGTCCAAGCAACCTCTGAATTTGAGAAACCCAAGCGCAATCAGAGGAAAGTTTCAAGCCATCCAGCTGATTCAATGCAGGAAAGTCCGCAAATTGAGCTTGAAAAGGTAAAACGCAACTTACGAAAGGTTAATAACCTTGTGGTAGAAAACTCTGCTCATTCAGAGGTTGAAATTGAAAAGCCAAAGCAAACTCTGGAAAAGGTATCTGGCACTTCAGGTGATAATGTTTTGAGTTCAAGTAATTCTGCTGAGAAGATGAAGAAAGAAACTACCATCACAACACCCGCTGTGCTTGATGTGGTGAAGAATGAACCAAACTTGATGTCCACATTGCCTGATGCAGAGACTGCTGAAGAGCCTTTAGAAATGATCAAGGCAGTGGAATCATCACATGAGGATCAAGCTATAGTAGAATCTAAAGCTTCAGTTGATACTGGTGGTAAAGGTGAGAATACTCCTCAACTAAATGGGCAGTCCAAACACAAGAATGATCCAACAATCAATGAAAATCACAAAACTGCAAAGAAAGCTTCAGTTGCAGTGAAACCAGAACGTGCTGAGAATGGGACACAGAGCAGTCCTACCCTCCCTAGCTATATGGCAGCAACTGAATCTGCAAAGGCAAAACTGAGAGCACAAGGTTCCCCAAGATTTAGCCAAGATGGGGTTGAGAAAAATAATGTCACCCGGCGTCATTCTCTGCCATCTTCAACTAATAGCAAAATCAGCTCCGAGTCCCCAAGGACGCAAAGAGCAGTTCATGGTAGTGGCAAAGGAGGGAACAAGAGTGATAGGTCTTTATTATCTTCGAGAGATGGAAATGGTAAAATGTTTGCTTGCCCCTAAAATCAACGAGACTTATTTTTGAATGGATGCATACTTGATTTAGTAGTGAAAATAATTGAGAAATTGTTGTGGAAGTTTTACCTGCCAAGCATTGTAGTTGTGCAAGTTTTAGCTGCCAAGCATTGTAGTTACTTATAAGGGATCAATCAGCTTGCATTTGTCATGTTTCATTGCTCCAAGTCTCCTTAAAATCTAATACCGTGTGAAATTGCCTATTGTCTCGGGGAACTTTAGCTAAACATGAAAGTATATCTTGTCACTTTTAGAAGATATTTCAATTGAGTAAATGTTCAATTTCTTATCAGAATCACTAATTAGAACTGTTTTCTATTTGACATGAGCAATTCACCTTGTTGAAAACTTTAAGAGCTGAATTTTGTTGTACAATATGAACTTGACTAAGCTGTTCTTCCTCTTTTTTTTTTTTTTCTTTTTGGGTTATGCAGTGAAGGGAACCCAACCAGAGTGGAGGAGGTGATTGTGGAACATCGCGACCTTTCAAGGAGATAGCATAAGGTCTCTTGTTTCATCTGTCCTTTATCTTATTATATCTTTGGTGCAAGATCATGTGTAACAGTGAAACTTGGTCTATAACCGGAATGAGTGTGTTGGATCTGAATTCTAGTCTTTTGCCGTGGCTGTTTGTGAGTGAATGAATGTACATCATAGGTTTTTAATTTACACTCTGCAAAAAATCTTGCATTATTTTCTAATTTGAGCTTGTTTTGGACATGATTTTGGGCAGTTAATAGTGTAATTTTTCTGTTGATTTTCACTGCTAAAGGCCTTTGTTAGAAAATCTCCAGTCGATGCCTCTATCTTCATGCCCTCATCAGTTAACTTCATTTCAAGGACCACTGAAATAATATTATTTACTATGTGAAGATGAAAACAATCTCATGTTGCTCAAAAATAAAATCAGTACCCGTTGAATAAATCCAAAATATTCACGAAGGATTAAATACAAATAAGATAAACTAAAACGAATATTCTGCCTGCCCGCTAGTGTGTTACAAATAAATAACGCAGGATTCAAATATATATATATATATATATATATATTGCATTATCGAGATTGAGCAGCAATAATCTGATCGGAATCATAGACCATTCCATAAGCTGGTCCTCTCCTCTGGCCTCCTAGTATGTTTGTTCTGGGCAACAGTTGCGGTTCCGAAGGCAATGGCTGAACATTACGAGGCACAGGCATTTCAGCAGAGTGGCGAGAGATGCAGAGTGACCCTGAATCATCCTGCTCCCAGTATACTTCAACCATAGTGCCACCAGGATTCTCCGGCGAGTTTGTTTCTGGGACTCCTACAAATCTAGCTCCCACTGGTATCTGCATTTTCATTCAAGCTCCAAAAATTACACTTGATTTTTGCTCGCTACATAAATGACAAAAATGACACGAGCTGTGCCTACCTGAACCGACTTTCCAGAAGTTAAGTCCAGAGTAACCATCTTCCCCTCAGCTGCAGCACTTTCTAATTCTGCTTGCTTGGCAATGTTCAGGAAGACCTCTTCAAGAGTTGCAAGGCCAAGCTGGATGTCTGATACGTTGAATTCTCTCTGTCTAGCTTGAAGCTCCGCAAAGAAATTCTGTTGAGGAATTTGAATGTAAAGAGGAAATGAAAAAAATAGAGTAAGAGTTTGAAAATGCTCTAACGCTGGAGAAGGTAAAAGGAAGTTGCATAAGGTTCAGAGTATCTTCATAGAGATGTACACTTAGAAATCTGAAATGCTTAAGGAAAAACAATGGCGGGAATAAGGAGACAAATTAGGATTCTCAGAATTGCTTGCCTTTAAAACGCTCTCTTTATCATGAGGAATGACAAAAGTCGAGAAGGATCTGGTCTCCTCTGTTGGTGTTACATCCAAATGCTGTGAAAAACAAAATCAGAAAAAAATGATTCTGGAATTTAAATGAACCTGTTGAATTCGGTCAAGCGTTCAACATACAGATTTAAAGAACTTCTTCACAGCCTCATGATGAACTGACGAAGTATCTCCTGGCGAGCGGGCAGGAGTGTGTCCACCATTGGTATCGCCAAATCTCACATTAGCAATAAAACCAGTGCCGAACTTTGACTTCAACCTGATCGAGTTTCCAATGCATCGGAGCCTACCCTTGGCCATAATTCCTATACGGTCACTTAGAATGTCAGCCTCTTCCATCGAATGAGTTGTTAGAACAATGGCGCGACCTTTCTTTGTGTTCTGTATGATATCCCAGACATGCCTTCTTGATATTGGGTCCATACCAGTGGTCTGCAGATCAATAAGAAGTTAAATAAATTGATACTTCTACGAATAGATCAAATGAATGTATTTATGACTCGAAGTATGTGAATCTCCATACCGGCTCATCCAAAATGACTAACTTCGGGTCACCAAGAAGGGATATTGCAACACTCAGACGGCGCCTCATTCCTCCACTGTAACTCCTGGCTCTTACCTTGGCTGATTCGGTTAGTTTCACCTGCGCCAACGATTCTCGAGCAACCTGCAGTCCATGGAAAGGACAGACAATGGTTATTTAGAATGTTTAAGTGAGAAGAACCGGTATGGAAGTAAATAATTCTGTCACAGTTGTTGGTCAACAAATTATGACTACAAGGATCAGGATGACTGGTTGAGTTTTGAGGTTCATATATCACATACCGATTTGATAGAAGCCGGGGGTAGACCTTTAATACTTGCAAAGAGTTCGAGGTGTTCTTCACCAGACAGTGCATCCCAGAGGATGTCAAACTATAAGATGTTAAGATTTTAGTCTCGATAGACCAATTAGCAAACAGCTCATGGGGCATGCTTACAAACTGTTGAGAATATGCAGAGAGCTCACCTGTGGACAAACTCCTATAATTTTCCGAATGCCTGACATGCCAACCGTGCTTCGAACGGAATGTCCATAAACCAAGGCTGTTTATGCAAAGTAGCTAATGAAGTGAACTTCTAAGGCAGTTTCAATGTAATTGTGATTGTGAAATGAGAGTGTATTACCATCTCCACCGGTCACAGGTGTTATGCCGGTCAGGCAATTGATTGTTGTAGTTTTTCCAGCACCATTGGGTCCAAGAAGACAAAACAACTGATCCTTTGTGAAGTTGACCCACAAGTCCTGCAGGTAAAATAGCTAGTATTGGAACGGGAAAGAAGAAAACGAGGGAGATTTCTTCTGCCCTCTCAAACCAGCATGGTACCCATAAGCTGGCAAGGAATTGCTTACCCTAACAGCATGGTAAGGTGAAGTCTTCTTGCATTTGAAACAACCAATATGTGTGGCCCCAGGATACGTCTTTCCAAGTCCACGTATCTGAACTGCAATATCTGGGTTGACTGTGCCGTCTCTTGCATCATTTTTGACGATGTTCTCCTCTTCAAGCACATCTTCATCATCTGGAACAATATGCTCTTGCTGCGGGATATCAGTTATGCAACTACACAAGCCACCCTCTGGGACAATAGAGGAAGAACAGAGTCAGAATATTAGTAAGCTAACAATAAGACCTAGCTAGAGCTATGAGACATGGACTGAAGTAGAGTTCTCTTTTCCTTAATTACGTATCCTTGCTATCAATATATATATATATATATATATTAATATTTATATATATATATATGTATATATATATATATAAATATTAATATATATATATATAGAAAGAGACCATTCCCTTCGACCTTGTCTCCACCTTTCCCTGTCCAATACCCGGGCTTGAAGAAGTAAAATACAGATTTTCTCACACCAGATACATTTGGGAATATATTATCGAAGTAGATTGCCAAAGCAAACCAGAGAATGAACAGACATATGAGCCATGTGTAAACATCATTCTGCCAAGGAAATGTGAGTTACAAATAGCAATCGACAATGGAAGAAATTAAGAGTAAGAATATAAAAACAAAAGGAGATGAAGATTAATTACGAGAAAACTGATGCAAAGGCACGAGTTCTCAGTAGAATGCGTGATATTGTGGCCTATGAGTCCACATTAATATTTGGTGTTTGTGTGTGCGTCTTACGTGTTCTACGCAGGGTGAGCAAAGCGATTACATACAATTGTCATCACACAATCATCATCGTCAGGTGGACACTTTGATCGGCCTTTCCAGCTAATTCCGAGAGCTTCAGGAGTGCTACTTGCATCAGATAGCACATTTACTGCTTTTGCAAGAAGATTTGGTGGGAAGAATGACCAGATGAAGCGCAAGAAAGAACTAATGCTTTTTTTGTACGGAAATCCAGCTATTGTAACAATCTGCAGTGACAAATGAGATCAATTACCACAACGAAACTCACAGTATTCCTGCATCAAAATCTCAAAGGGGTTTGTCTTTGAGACGGTCTTAGGTTAGGAGTAAATCTCATTTATAAAACATTTCTTATTCCTTGATTTTTAGCTGGGAAACCTGCCTGCGTCATAAAACCAACTATAAATATGGAGAAACCCATTGTTGTGCCTGAAGAGGCCTTGCTGATGAGGGTCGACAGCATGAAGGCAAAACCAATCTAGCATCACAAGCGAGAAAAGACAGGAAAAGGGTTAATATGAATAAGCTTATATACTAAAAATACTACCACAGCCTACAGATGAAGAAGTTATCTTACCATGTTGACCTGGAAAAGGAAGAACACAAAGAACAGAACTCCGAAACTGTTTTTCTTGAAAAAATCGAACTGAAACATCAATCCAAAAAGAACCAGTAAGAGTGATGAAATAAACGTGATAATCCCCTCCCATATGAGCCACGAGGTCCAATATGCAGATTCATAGAGACCAGTCATATTCATTGCCTGTGAAGAAGATGAAAATGAACCAATAAATAAACTATAATTAGAATATAAAGAATACATCAATAATCTATAAGCTTGTTTAACTCTAGACAGCAGATCGCAAATACCTGGCGAAGTTTGAGCTCTTTCTCGGCCACCAAATTACTGATTTGCAACACAAATCCGAACATGGTGAATGCCAGGAAAAAGGCAGGTCCTACTGTAGCCACCGCAGAAAAGGTAGGTTTTGCAGGGTGTGCAAATTCCGTGAGTCCGACATTCCATGTAAAGGTTGGAACTGGACAATATCCAGATTCAGTCAAAAAAAAAAAAAAAACTGTTTGTTTCACACGATTTTATTAAAGAAAAGAAGGAAATTTGTGAATCTAAAAACATTTCTACATAAAAAATCTGGCAGATTAAAGATTTCAGACCTCCAATAATAGAACGAGCAATCTCACGCTCTGCTGCAATCTGAAGTGGAATTTGAAATTTGAAGGTGGGATCTTCATAATGGCCTCGCCGAGCAATTGCGGTAGAGTTAGTCTGTAGACCATAGGTGATTAAACTGGGGCTTACATCCACAAAATGCAAAGCTCCTGGGACTTGCATAGGATTTCTAAAAAGCCAATCATCTACTTCCTCTGGTGTTTTGAATGATTTAACCTGCATATGAACAAATAAATAAAAATAAAAAGATCGGATTACTTTGAATTCTTTTTCCTGCATGGTATTCCAAAATAAATCTACTAACTGATAGTCCTATAAAACAGAATATTGAACCATCATAAGTCCAATACCAGGAGTAAAAACAGTTATAACAAAGAAATTCCCATATATGACAACATCCTCTTCTTTCATTTTTCCAAAAACCCAGTTCAGATTACCATAGTATTTATTTATTGTGACAATCACAAGTAAGTAAGAGAGAGAGAGAGAGTTGGTTTTTGTAATGAGCTAGAACTCGATACCTTTCCAGAGGGAATTCGCCTATTAGGATTATTATTCATGATGGCTGTCACGATATTGCCAATTCTAGAACTATCATTTCCACTCCAAACGAAATCAAAACAAGGCATTTTAACATAGAACTTTTCCTCACAAGGAGGGATGGGCGATTCCCACATAGGCTGTGGATTCGTCACGGTTTTGTACCCCGTCGTTGCTTTTGAGCGAGAATCAGATGCCTTCTGGATACCAAACAACAAGAACATGAAGAAGAAAGAAGAGAAGAGCTGCAGGAACGTTGCACTCTTGTTTCTCCATGAAAGCAACAGGTTTTTCTTGAACAAAGCCGTAAATTGCTGGTACAGTAATGGAAATCCATGTATCAGTTCCATGTTTTTCTTCTCTTCTCTGCTCTTTAATTTTCTCAAGTGAGACAGAGCCGTGGCTTAAAAAAGCGCGGTTCGAAGGTGGTGTCCAGGGCTATTTCTGTCCAGATGTTTGATAATAATCAGGCTTGCATTTTCCTGGAATTACAGAATGGGCCGCTCTGACCGGACTTTTCAAAAACAGGTTGAGGGTAAGGTGGGAAAATGAAAAAAGTAACTGCAACTGGGTTAGAGATTCATGTTAACGGGTTGTTTGACAATGTCTGTTTTTTAAAATTTTTATTTTTTAAATTTTAAATTACTTTTTTAGATGTATTGTTATAAAAATAAAAAATATTATTTTAATATATTTTTAAATAAAAAATACTTTTAAAATAGCTAACGTGCCACTTAACAACAATTAAAATAAAAAATTAATTTATTTATAAGGTTTGGGAAAGGGGAAACTACTAAAATTGTCTAATTAATTAAATGTAAATAGCTAATTTCAATGCTAAACTTTATACACGATTAACTTGTAAACTAAAAATATGGGATGAAAATTATGTAGTGAGGATTGTTCATCCTCTTACAAAACACCATGGATAACATTATTTATTTTTTGATAGTTTATTTTAGTCCTTAAAGTTTTGTTTTAGATGGATTAATCCTAGTTTAAGGTTAATTGTTTCTTATTTTTTATTCAATGGTGAAAATAAAAGAATAGAACTAAAATAAAAAAGGTGTCAAACATGGGTGGCATGCAAGAAGTTTCAGAAAATATATACTTTGGTCCTATAACTTTAAAAATAATGCAAATTATATAATTTCAGTACCTTAATTTTTTTCAAATTAAATTTTGTTATAAAATTTGATTTCATTTTTTAATTTTTAATTCCTGGTCAAGAGAGATAGTCAAATTCCAACGATAAAGAGAAAAAATATCATTGATATGATTTAAATCACCAAAATAGTCGATATTTGTGTCAAATAGTTCCATTTGATGAGGGGAGTTTATATTTTTTTTTAAAAGTTTAAAGTTCATGAAAAAATAGATCTAAAGTTGAGTTAATTTTTGGTTTTGGGTTGATTTCGGTATTTGAGATGGTTTTTTTGGTTTTTTTTAAGGTATGAATAAATTTATCATGATTTCTATGATGTTTTGGATAAACAAATGGGTTGAATAATAATTTTTTTGAGTTAAAAAACTAGGGTTGATAATTTCAAAAAAAAAAAAACCAGATGATACATCACTTATTGAGACAAATGATGCATCATTTTTAATCTGTCCTAGTTGCAACAAAAAAAAAGGACTCAGTTACACAACCCCCTGATGAAATAGACTAGGCGTAACAGTGGTTGACATTTGCTTCTTTTTTTTTGTTCTAAATTATTATTTTTAATTTTTTTTAATTAATAATTTTCTTCTCTATTTTTTTAATATTTAGATTAATATTCATTCTCTCTTTTATTTTATTTGAAGAGCCTATTTTAAATGATGGTTATTTTTTTGTTATGTATTTAAATTTTGAAGAGTTTTTATCATATATATATATTATCTTTTTTATACATGAATTTTATTTTTACAAATAAAAAAATTATTTTAATATAATATTTCTAATATATGCAGCCTTGTATAGTATTTTTTCACATTTTATTTTATTTAATCAATTTAATTTGTGTTTTTAATTTTATTATTATTTACTTAAATAAAAAACTATTTTAATAAACAAGTTTAGGAAATATAAATAGATAAATATATCGACTTGCAAGATTAAATATTTTAACTTGCATCTATCTTTTAATTTTTTATTTTTATTTTTAGTTATACATCTATCTTTTAATTTTTTATTTTTACTTTTAGTTATAATTTATTTTTTTATTTACTAATACGCAGTTCTTGATTATTTAATTATATGTATTATAAAATTTTTATTTTTTTTTAAAATTTTGTTAGCTATAAAAATATATTAAAAAAATTTATATATATAAGTTTTTTATTTTAAAAATAATATCTAACCCCAAAGTAAAAAAAAAAAGTCTAGTTAATTACTAATAAATGAACGAGTGTGGTGTAAAAGGCTCGACATGTTTGCTAAAAATGGACAATAATTTCGGATAATGTATTATTATTGTTGTTGTTATTTCAAATAACGTGGAGTATTTATTGAGTTTGACTTTCGTGGAGGATGGATCCAAAAAAATCTCTTTCAACCTTCTAGAAGAAAGGAACCACCATGGGAATCTCACTTGATAAGACCACAAATCTAAACCGAGTTGATTTTTTGGGTCAATAGCGTAAAAGCTACCAATACAACTAAAAATCTAGGAGGTAAAATCAGGAATGCCCTCAAAATTTTATTTTTATCTTGATTTTTTAACTTGATTCTTTTATTTTTCATTAATAATTCTAGTTTGATTCTACAAAATTAATTTTTTTATTCACATTTTTTTATTAAATCATTTTGTTTTTCACTTAACAATTACATCTTAATATAAAATTAATGCTCGTCAAATCATAAAATAATATTTGAAATCATAAATATATAATAAAATAAAAAATATATTTAAAAATAAAATGATGAAAGTACATAATAAAAATAATATAATCCATTATAAATTGCTATAATTACTCACAATGTTTTTAATTTTTTTACACTTGACTTTTTAATTTTTAATTTAATACTTTCATATTAAATTTATTTGGGATAAAACTTGATGTTTTGTTTTGGTTGATTTTATATAAAGTTCTTGTGATGTTAAAAATAAATTTTGATATTGAGTTAATTTTTATTTTAACAAAATAAAATTTAATTTTAATGATTTATATCAATGAAAACTTTAAAGATTGAATATCAAACTGAATAAATATTTATTTATTTTTTGTTAAAAATAGTATATTTATCTTAGCTTCTCAATTCAATCTTTGATTGAAATTAATAAATTAGCTATTATATATATATATATATATATATATATATTATGGTAAGAAAAATGGTGAACAACGCCTGCATCCTTGTTTGCATTGAGTAAAAAAGTCTAGCACGAGAAATCAAACTACTACGAGTAAATAAATATTGGGGATTGTCAAAATCAATCAACCGTGTAGTGGGCATTGAAGAAGGCTTGTCTCCAAGCCTCCAATAAGTTTTTTTTTTTTAATCGAAAATTGCTATGCTGCCCACAACACGGCTACCACTTACCAATCACAAGCACCACGTTGCTATCACTTTCCAGTTGAAAAATCAGGCAAACATTCTATATTACTATTAATTTTATGAATTTTATAATTATTTTGAAATTAATTTAGCTGTGATTAGATTATTTTTTAGGATTTAGTTTGAAATTAGATTTTGTTTTGTTAATTATAAGTTTTATGTTGCATTATTTTATTAATTATGAGTTTATAATTAATTTTAATGTGTTTTAGTATATTTGCAATATAGTTTTTTTTTTTTTAATTTGGATTGCTAGAATTGAAAATCAAAATTTTACTAGTCGAATGAAAATAATATAATTGTTTGTTAAGTTTAGTTTTAATTTAAATATTGTTAACTTTCTATATTTACATATGAAGAAAATAAAAATTGATATGTTGCATTATTAATAAACCAAATAACTATTAAACATGTCACATAAACCAAAACATTATAGTTATTATATGATTCATCCTAAATCCAAATTTTATTTTGATCATAAGCTACTTGAAAACCACATAAATCATAAGAAAATAAATAAAAAATACAAATTTTATGCAATGATTAATTCTATAAGAGAAGAACCCTAATATAAATATGGTTAGCAATCTTTAATTTTACATCTACAAGAGATTTGACATTTTAGTTATAGAGATTTGGATTTTAAATTTAGGGTTAGTTTAATTTTTTTGGTTAGGGATTTAGAGACTGTATTTAGAGTTAGGATTTAATATTTGGATTAAGTTAGTATTAAGGGTTTTGGTTATGGGTTTAGACTAGGGTTATAGTTGTTGTGGTTAAAAGTTTAGGATTAAAGATTAGTTAGAGTTAGGATTAGGGTTTGGAGTTTGGATTATAGTTAATGTTTAGTGTTTAAATTAGGGTTAGTGTTTTGATTAATGTTTGGATTAAATTTAAAGATTATTTATAGTTTAATAAATATCACTATTTCAAAACATAACATAACATATTTTTTAACTATAACTTCTTTACATATTCCAATCACGGTAAATATAAATTATATTATCTGACTAATATTTTTTGTATGTTTATTATTTTGTCAAAACTTGAACTTTTTTGTGCTAATAAGCAAGAACACTCCTTCATTTGATTATTTTTGAAAAAAGAATAAAAATCAAGACGGTCGAACTTGATTCCAATTGATAAATAGTACGTATCAAGGTTTTAATTTTTTTTTTCTACTATTGGTCTAGTCGTTGCTGTTGACAGCTAATTAATAAAAGAAGAATCTTTAGTCCTTCACGAGAACAAACCGCGAGGTACATTACAACAAGGTTTATTTGAAGTTTCAGTCACGATCAACGGATCTGAGGCAGAATTGAATGGCGCATGAATGTTTGATAATTGGCTACCTTCAATCCGAAGCAAACTCCTTTATTTAATTTAAGATCCTTAACTCATTAATCTACGAAGTTTCCCTTGCAACTCAAGTAGAGATAGCTCTATACATAGTTCGTGAAAATTTAGTTTTTCTCTTAATATAATTTTTTATAGTTTTGTCTATGATAATAAAAATAATTTTAAAAAATAAAATATATTATTTTAATATATTTTAAAATAAAAATCATTTTAAAAATAATAATTATTATATTTTTAAACATTTTAAAATTAAGATCCATAATTTATTTAATCGAGATGTAAGTCATACATACAAAAAAAAAATATGCTAGATATTATTATAAAATATTGTTTCAATCTTTTTATATATATATATATAAAATAGTATTTTTAATTTAAATTATATATATTTTATTTATATTTAGATTAAGATTATACACTTATAATATATAAATTATTTAAAATTTTTAGTTTTTTTTGTATTTAATCTTAATTATTTTAATATTTTAA